ATACAGCTCTGGAAATGTATCCTTTTTATGTCTGCATATACCACGTTTGGCAATGTATTCCCTCTACCTTTTTAGGATCATTACCTAAAGATGCTGGGCGTATTAGGAGAGGAATAGAGTTCAGATTATTTTCACCCATCCATTTGGTTCTATGGGTAGTATCACTCTTGCAATAACAAATGTATTCCTTCATGCTGTAAATTAAATGTACTTCATGCACCTGGCCTATAGTAATTTAATTCCAAAGTGAGGCAGAACTACTGCTATGAGAGCTAAAGTACAGATGCTCTGTAATAAATGAAGCAGAGTAATCACTCAGGTAATCAACTGTGTGACCTCAAAGCTGATTCTCTTCTTAAACTGGCACTAGTTTAGACTATGTCTCCATGCACCTGGTAATAATGATGAAAATGTGTTGGTATGCTTAAGATCCCACCAGGCTGGCAGTTTCAGAGCCATGGATTCAGGTGCAGTGCTGGATCAAGGACAAAAGAGGAACTGTTGGATGTGAATTCCAGGTGTGAAGATGGAGATTTAGAACCGAGTATTGACTATAATTCCAGTTAATGTCTAAAATCATTGGTATAGTTCATTGGAAAGAGCCCAAGTGTACTACATCAAACTAGTTGTCAGAGCATGCTGCTTGTTTTAAGCTCCTGTAGCAAAACCCTGTCTTCATCGTCATCTCAGCTCAACCACACATGTAGTGTGGAGAACAGAGTCCAGACCCTCTGGTTCAAAAGTCTCCTAGAGAAGACTATCCATTGGCTTTTCCCAGTAGTAGGGCTTATATATACCTGGTGTGATAGCTACTGGAGAGCAACATATTAGTCTGTATATTATACAGCACGAACCCAAGCGTGGATATCCAAGCAGATATCCATTGCCCCTTGGGGTTCAATGAATAGCCCCGAAGAGCAGTTTTTATGGAATCTATAAGAAAACATTGCTTTTCAAACAGTGCAATAATAGCTTGAAAGTTTTGGAAGATCTTTCTTTGGGAATTTGCAATTGTTTTAAAAAATATTTGCAGGGAAGCAAGCAAGGGCTTTGCAGTCAAGTTTCTGCAACAACACCTCTTCTGCATGGCTATTTCAACTTATAAAATTACTGTATGGCTGGTTTGAAATGGTTCTCACTACTTCATTACTTTTATTGATGATACATGTTGTTAAAGATAAGTTTTTGTGATTCATTTATCGCTTTTTTAGCATTTGTTTGCTACAATCTGGGCTCCCTCTCTCCCCGCTCCACCAAGACTAGACAGTAATTTCATTATCAGAGCCAGCCAGAGCACTAGAGCTATTTCAAAAAAGTGAAAAACCCACTGGATCTGAGACTGGACAAAGGTGAGATGGTTTATCTTTAACCGCTTACTCTTATGCTCCATAACACGTAATGTATCAGACACAGAAATATCAGCACCCCATGATCCTTCAGACATAAACTGTTTGTCATTCCTTGCCATTCATCTGCATGTCCGTGACTGTAAAAGGTGGGGGTACACAAAGTCATCTTATAAAGTCGGTAAATCTTCATTTTATTCATTTCCCTGGGATATAAACTAACCTGATCAGAAATTTGAAATGTGACCTGATCTTGACTTCAGTAGGAGCGGGACCTAAAAGAGCAAACAGACTGTGGCTGTTGTTTTTCAATATAGTTATTAGTTAGGCCATTAATTTCCTCTTCAACACAAACATCTAGCATCTGATACTCAGAAAGGAAAAACAACCTTTGCTGAGAACAGGTTTAACTGCAGGTTCATCTTTTATAAATGCAGGTTAAATGCACAAAAGAGTGCAAAAGAGACCCAAAATTATATTAGATTTTGCACTATAAACTTGGGGCTTGGGATGAGATCCTCTGCTCCCAGTAAAGTCAACGGGAGTTTTTTTAACATTGACTTCAGTGAGAACAGAGATAGGCCTACGATGAAAGTTTCTGAACATGTCCTCGGTTGGCTTTATAATATCACATAACCCTGCCAAGTCTGCTTGTTGAAAACTTACATCAGCAGTAACAGTTAGTAGATATGGACAAATCTTCCCCACCACTAGATCTCTGCATATGTTCTTCCTAGGTCTGAGTAAGTACATTTTACTGAAAGTGACCGTCTCTCTTTTAAATGTATGTTATTTTTTTAAATCAGCTTTTATAAAACCAACAGCCAATAGAAACATCTGCAAAGTATTTACTTCTTAAATACCCATGCAAGCTATTATTTTAAAAATAAATAATTCCCCAGCAGTGTATTCAGATTGGCAGAGCCTCCCTCTAATGACACAATGTGACAACTGGGGGCTTCAGAGCAACCTTGAAATTAAACAGTGAAAATACTTTTCTAATAATAATCTCAAATAAAATATTATCAAAAGACAGCAAAACTGACCTCTGGCTTGCAGATCATCCTTCTTCAGGCTCCTGTAGAGTAATTTCCTAAGTAACCAACTTAGGGGCAGCACAGAATCAAAGAAAACAGAACTGCAGGACGGTCACTTATTTTTTAAACCGTTAATGATTCCAATGTTGAACAATCTGATGGAATAAAGTAATGCTGTCCCTGATACTGTATACAGGAAATGCTCCGTCTCTCAGTAATTCACTAGAAGGAGCAGAGATTACATAAATCATAAGACCTTTCACCTAATGTGAGTTATCATCTCTTCTCTATTCTTCACTTATGAACTGTGTGTTTAAAAATAATATCCCGTTTCTCCTTCTTTTATGTAGTCCATTCACAGTGTTATCTGTAAGCCATTGGTTTGATATGGCATGTCTGGGAGAAAGAACTGTAAACTCTGTACTCTTGCATGCCATTGAAAAGGAATCTCTGTTCTATGGTCTTGAAAATATTTTTAGGAGAAAAACAGGCAACCCCAACAAGACCCAGCTCTCTAGGCCTCCTGACCCCCGGCCTCCTCTTCAAGGTGGGGGGAAACAGCTCTCCCATTTCTAAGTACTTTTTCTTAAACTGGTCTTTAACAGCATCCAGGGGACATATAACTCCTGTAAACTGCATGGTCCTTGCTGGAAAAGGAAGGACAGACTGAGGAATTAGGGACTTGTAGAGCACTGGAGGAAGGGGGCTTAGTTAGAGAAGCTCACCCTCCCCCTGAACTGCTCAACAGCTTGCTGGAAAGAAGGGAGTTCTTCTTTGCCTTCTCTCTATGAATAAGCTTTCTGCAGAGAAGGTCAACCTGCTGCAGAATCTGTATTTCCAGCCATCCACATCTGAGGTGGCTTTGGGTACGCTGGAGTGGATAGAATTCTGAGTTTATGGAAAACATATGTTCTTCCTCCCCTCCCCCCACATACTGGCAGTTTGCTAGATGGAAACAAAGCATTGAATGTAAATTGAGTCCTGAAATATAAAGTTCTTTTAATGGACTGTGGCAGTTGGACTTCTCAGTCCATAATTAGACCCCTAAATAAGTGGCCTAATTTTTCAGAAGTACCAAGCAGCCAACAGCTCTTTGGGTGAATGGGAGTTTGTTGGATGCTCAGCACTTTGATAATCTGGTATGTCTTCTGTCTGTAAATAATATTGCTATCTATGGTAGCATATCTTAAAAAACAGGAAATATTCAAAACTAGAAGTCTGAGTGGCTACTTATTGTCAAACACATTCTCTCCAACTCCCCATCCCTTTGGATTATATCATCATTTTTCCGAAATTGAAAACTTTTTAACAAGAACTCATATAGGTTTAAAGAAAGGTGTTAATGTTACAGGTGAGTATTTTTAATCTGCTCAGAAAATGGAATTTTACTTCTCTATGAAATAAGAGATTAATAATATATTAGGATAGTTTTAAGTTAAATATTTTAGCGGCTAGACTGCCATTTGCTACAAGATACCAGTTTAAATCCAAAGAAACTCTGTTTCACCCTGTGGCATTGCTTCAGACTTATACTAGTGTAAATGAGAACAGAAACTTCTCTTTGGTTTCTTTCCTAGCTTTAATTTCCATTTTCATAAAGTTAAGTACATATATTTTAATGACACATTGTAAGAATATAAAAAGAATAGCATCTTCTTGGCAGAGGGGAGGAGAGCAGAAGGAAGACTGTAGGAGCGTAGTTTTAACAAAACACCAAAAAAACAAAAATTCAGACTCCCATAAACAGATTGATAACTTTATTTGAGATTCATCCAGTGGCAGTTTGGTTGCTACCCACAAGAAAATGGAATGAATCAGAATTGAACTGTAATTGGGACAAAGACAACTCTCCAACAATTTACTGTACAGCAATAAAATAGTCAACAATGCTGCACTAATCAAACTGTAAAGCAGTTCTCATTAGATGACTATCTCTGCATGAATAATGCACTATTATATGTTTAGGTTTAATTAAAAATGTAATAGATAAAACTTTGTTTTAATGAACATAGGTATGTAAGTGCCAGTATTATTCTTTACTCCAGTGATTCATCCATTCTTTTCATATGCACTCAGTGGGATAATTAATGTGTCATGTTGCCAGATTGTCAACTAGCAGAAGTGACTTATGGTGGTAGGGAGAAGTTATTGCTGGTAACTTTCATGTTGACTAAGAATCAAATACTGACCATACAGAAGTTTTATTCTTTTGCAATATGGATCTTAGTCAAGAGTTCTGGGTTAATAACCGTGTTAAGAATTAAGAACAAATGGGTTTGTGCCAAGAAGGAGAGGATCTCAAAAGGACTTGAACTTGGGTTTTGGTTTGGATAAAAACCAAGAAGTTTGGTTCCCTATTCAGAGCTCGAGAGTCTGGAAAAATGGGCTGGAAATCTCAAGAGAACAGGTTTTATCACAAGCAGGCTGGCACATCTGCCTTCTGGTCAGGTCAGAAATAGTACAGGAAAGTTCTTCACTTTCACTTCCAGTCCCTATTGCAATGGCAAAGGTCTGGGGGAAAATACAGAACCTCAGAAAAGTTCAGGTTACAAAAAAGAGGAGTCATTTCAAAGAAGGGGATGTTTATATTTTATCCAAAACCATCTTTAGTGCTTACCCATTTATTTCTTGTAAATTGACTACCCTCTTGTTTTTCGTAAATTATTGAGACAGTCCAAATCTGCAAAGTTCACATCCAGATCTGATTTCTGCAAGAGGAAGAAAATAGCCCTTTTTAACACTTGGACAACACAGGGCATCATCTGCAGACCTGGTTCCTTACTGTAGGTGGATTATATACAATATTTATAAAAGATGAAAACTAATCTGACATTTAATTAATGAAAACTGCTATGTTTGACTTTTTATTTTCATAATAAGCACCCTTCAGTCCCACAGAAATCATTACTATGAGCCTGTTAAAAAAAAAAAAAAAGCCAGAAACATTTAACAAAGGTTCCATTAAATTAGAGAGCAATAAACAAACACAGGCAATTTATGCATCAGAGTCATTAAATTTGTATCCTCTCCGACACTTTCTTCATGGATAGTACTTATGTCTGATACAATTGATCTGCAGGGAGCAGTTACCTTAATTATAAAATGAAACACCTCTGCTAATGTAGTCTTGGAGCCTTGTTAGTTTACACCCCAGACATGTGGCTCAGAATGGGCTCCAAATGCTAATGCCAGTAAAGGCAGACATTGTCAGTCTCTGATGTGTCGTGTTTGGCAGTCCATGACTACAGTGCTGTATGAGGCACCCCTGCTTTTTTCCTCTCTTTTGCCCTTGGGGTGGAGATAAAGTGCTAAAACTCTGTGGTCCAGCTCAGCATGTAGTTTTGAATAGTTCATTCATGGGTAGCCATTTGTACAAGAAGTCTTATCATCTGATCATTTGCCCTCATTGTTAGGGCTTGTGCCTAGATGAGATGAGCCTTGCAGGAAAAATTAAAGAAGATGTAAACAGTAAATGCAGACATTTTGCAACATAGCTAAAAATAAATTGCACTACAGGCAATTATGCAAGTTTTACTGGATACATTAAAAAGACATTAAATGCACAGCTGTTTTAAGTGTCTTTTAAGCTGATAAATTAACTGTCTAATAAATTGTAAGATTTGTCAGCTAATAATGCTATTTTATCTGCTTTAACATATGCCTTCCTAGTTCATGAAGCATTATTGTAAGTGCCAAAAGGAGATAATGTGCATTTTACAGTGTTATGTCTTAAGTGGAATGGATCATTGGCCATGAAGAAGTGTGTTAATAAATCTCCTAGGCTTTGTTAATTGCACTCAATGAAGTGTCACTGTTAAAACACAAAAGATGTGGTAGAGAAAGCTGAACATAATGTCTTTCAGTTTTACAATTAACAGTTCACTAGGCAAATCGACCAAAAAGACCATAATTTGTTGAAGCCTTATTAACTTACATTTTCCTAGTCAAGGTCATAATTGTGAATGGCTTAAAGCTATCTTTTAATGCTCATCAGGAAGAGTAACCTTGCTAGAGAGAATGAACTTTTTAGTCTCTCAGTGGCACTTATCACTTTCCTAGCAGGTAGTAGACAAATAAAGCTGAACTTTGTCACAGAGCAGTCTCTTAAAGTCACCCACCATCCATAACACTACCTCAGATAGTGGGGAAGACACCATTTTAAGCATCTTCTTTAAGCAGTAAATTTAAAAAATGGATAAAATGGAAACAAAATCAGAAGAGAAATGTATCATGGACAGTGCCCTATTTTAGCAACTGGGGCTATGTAGAAAAATGTGTGTTTAATATGAAATATTATTTACTGTTTAATATTTTTAAAAAATTAATGTAGAATAGAAAACAAAAATTGACAAAACCTAATATTCAGACTACATAACAAGTATCAATACCAAGTACAGTTGCTGTAAAACCTTAAGCAAGAATAACTTATTCCATATTTATTATTAAATATTGGTTGCCCAAGATTACAGCTTTACTACATCCAGTCATATTACCACTATTGTATTTTGTTGGAAACCCTTGCCATTTAGAACCATTTAATGGTAAAATTAGGTATTTATCTTCAACATGGCAATCAGAGTAAATACTGATGATGTTGAAAAAGTACAGGTGGCACCCGTTAATACATATATATGACCGTCAGCCAATTAATCCTTGTGAAGTAATGAGAACACATGATAGAAGAATAATGACCAAATGTTATTATAAGCTTATAAACTCTTCCTAAGAACCACTCAAAATGCATAGTGAAGTGTCTTCACATGAATTGTGGTTTATTTAAGTCTCAGATAAATTCAACTGTTTATATTACTACTGTGTACCACTACTTTAAATACTTACACTGAGACTGTTCAATTTGTCTGATAATAGTAGTAATATTTTTCTATGAAACATAGTAGATGTCATTTTTATTTTATATATAAATCCTTCTACAGATACTAAAAATAATAAAATGCACCCTGTTTTACTGTTAATGGGTGATGCGATGACCTTCTGAACGTAACACAGTAGATAACATGCTTCTCAAAGCCTGGCAGGTAATGATGCCTAATGGTTAGAGCAGGGAACAGCATCAAGACTCTTGGGCTGTGTTGTTTCACGATGGGCCAGACTCTGGCTACCCTTACATATCTGGACAGGAAGGCGCAAGGACCCTCCCTTCCTTTGTGCAGCCCCCAGGGACCTGCCACAGTTGTAGTCTTTGCACTTGTGGGAGCAGAAAGGCTGCTTCTCTGTGTGAAGGACACCAGAAAGAGGCCAGGGAGGAGGCGGGGCCAATGCCTTGTCCACTTCCACACCAGGCCTCAGAGCATGTCAGAGCACCAGATGGAGTAAGTGCACGTAGCCTGTATTCACTGGAAAGCTCAAGGAGAGATTGTATCACAAACCTCTAATCAGACCAGGTTGTCTGCCACAATGTCATGCTGGCCAAGTGACTTCTTTTCTCTCTCTCTCTCATATAATGTCTGCATAAGCTTTGAGAACTATGGACACAAGGTGCTGTAGAAGTGCAAAGCATTATCACCACTCAGCAGAGCTGGGTGACTGTAAACCAAAAAATAACGGATTATTAATTTGGATGCTTCAGTTTCTTCAAATCCCATTTCTCTTTGTTCTCTGAATATTCTAGAAAATTACTTCATGGCAGGAATATTCAATGAAAGAACAAATTTCAAGTGAATATTGCAGAATAGCTACAGAAAATGAATTTTGAATGAATACCCATGAGTACTCACACTGGAAACCTAAATCTAAGGGCTAAACTCATGCAACCAGGGAACAGACGTACCATGTGACCTCTGTCTCCAATCAAAACAACATGAGTTTAAAATATTGAATGCTAGCAATGAACTGGTCATGAACAAGATGTGGACCAAGAATTATTTACTGAAGTTATTCAATGATAATTTAGCATAATAAAAACATTTAAAAATACTGATGTATACAGACAGTTCAATAACAAGACAAACTAAACTGAAAAATATTTGTTTACATACACATACATACAGAGCTACACAATAATTTCATAGTTAACAAAAGCACCATAATGATATCCAATGGAAACTACTGATAGCATAAAATACCATATCTACAATATTTCACAAATAAAAAGGCTTATGGTGGAAAGAGGACAGTTCAGCGAGGTAAAGTGTGATTACTATAAGACAGTCATCAAGTTCAATAAGACACAGTTAGGTCTATCTTCCCTCCTTTCTTGTGTGTATGTTTGTGAAAGGAGAGGAGTATTTTATATATTGGAATTTACAGGTGTTAAGTTATCTATAACTTAAGCAGTCCCGTTGTTTGCCTTTAGCATCTACACTTTCTAGTTTCCTGGACTACAAATAACATACTAACAGAAAAATTAATATAAGCACTGCAGAATTCAAACATAGCCTGTTCCCTTCTAAGATGCATACAAATGCAAACTTTCATGGTGATTAAATCTACATTTCTTATTACTTTGCGTCATCATAAGAGCAAGAACAAGATGGTCCTGTTTCATGCACTGTGCTCCCATCGACGCAATAGAGAGTTCTGCTTGCGAAAGGACCTTAAGATTGAGCCCAAAGGGCCAGATTGTAACCTAACTCAGTGAGGATATTCAGGAAAGTAAGTGAGGAGGAAGCCACTAGCCTTTACCACCTGCATGGCTACTAGTACTTGCCCAGATTCTTAAGCACGGAACATAGGGCAGTCCCAAGGCTTCCAAGCCTCTGGCTCTGTGGTATGGAGCCTGAGAACCAAGGTTTCCAGGCCCTGAGTCTCAAGTTGGGGTTCTTAGGGCTTTCAGCCTCCCTGTTCGATGGCAGAGGGCCTGGAAGTCCTGGGGTCCCCAGGCCTGAAGCTACCCACATGGTGGGGCTGCCCTGGAGCCATAGACTCTGGAAGTCTGGGGTACCTTGCAGCTGGTCCATCTGGCTTGCAGGAAAGCAGGAGGGTTCTGTTAGAATCCTGTCTGTGATTTGTCAAACCCAGTACAGTTCCATAAAACAAGTCAGGTTTGATGAGTCAGCATTTTCTGACAAAACCCTGTTCATGACCAGCATGAATCAAGACCTACAGATATTCCCTTGTAAAGCAAAATCACCAAGTTTTGCAGCATTCAACAAAATGCTAAACAAGCAATCAACCAATTTTCAATACTTCAGTCTTCAAAGCATATGTTTATTACCTAAAAGTATGCTACTAATGTCTTAAGCTAGAAGTAATCAATCAATATTTTAGTTAAAAAATACTTTATGAATAGAAAAATCTTCCAGACCAATATCAAAATGTGCTGGAGCAGGCCCCGGGGTCCTTTTTTTCTCCCAGTAAAATGAATGGAAAGACTCCCATTGACATAAATGGGAGCAAACTTCTAGCCTTGAGAGACAGTTATGCAAGGACATTCAAAGTAAAATCAAGAGTTTCATCTCTGTACTTCACTTGCATACTTGGCTGTAATGATTCGCACACTATATACCTGTCACCTGGGATGTTACTTCACTAAAGCACCTTTAAAGTAAAGAATTATAGTCTGTCAAGCTTGGTCAATCAGAATCAGTTTATTACAGTGCATCCATTTTTTTTTAAATTAAAAAATAAATCTTCCAATTACAAAATTTGCTGGAATCTTTTCAGTGAAGATATAGTCTTGTTCCGTATCGAGCATTCACACTACTAACAGAGACCGACTATTTCATAAGCAAATACACAGCATTGTCTT